TGCAAATCGAAAATTTCATTGATTAGCTGAAGAAAAAAACTGCAAACATGACTGTCCAACATCAATGCATCAATACATATAAACCTAAAAATGATGGTTTAAAAATAACAAGTATATGTTTTTGTATTATTTTTTCCAGCCAAAAGTCAAAAGCCAACAGTAACATCATTTGCCTGGCATCCTAGTCAAGAGAATAGATTGCTGACATATTTTGCTCCAGATGAAGTGTGTGAAATTATTGTGTTTGAAAAAACAACTATGGTAAGGCATTAATGATATGAAAAGAGCTCACGAGAGACAAATTGTGGAGATATCTTGCAAGTAGAGATATCTTGGAAATATTTTTGTTGCTGCTTATGTTCTGTTTGAATGCAATTTGACTCAATTGTCAGCCAAGAAATACTACATGGTAATTTGAGTAATATTTATAGAACAATTTCCAAGAGATAACCCTTTGGGCTTGACTTAGATAGACATTTTGATTGTCAACAAACATCTATTCACAAAATTAATATATCACTTCCGGTTTTGACGATATATGTGTGTAAACTTGGGTTAGGGTCATTGATCTAGGATGTCATATTATTATGCTTTAATAGACGTCCAAAAACAGCAATTTTCAAAACTTTTAAAGCTTATATTGACCTTTGTTGAACTCTTGACCAGAAGAAAACTTATTGTGCTTGACAAGATCTATTCAAAAATATTTTTGCTGTGAGATGTTTACTTCCGGTTTTAAAGCTATTTGAAAATCTTCTATTTAATACCAATGTGAACATCAAACTGAATATGCTATAATAAAAGTGAATTCCAGGGATCACTTTCTGGAAATCAATTTGATATTTAGTGTGAATGCAGAATGGTTATATTTTCATGAATACAATTTATTTCGTTTTATCTTTTGTTTGTTGTAGCATGTGCTGAGAGAGGGGCTAAAATATCAGTGATGATCTATTAAGACAACTATAGTCTCTCCCCTCTATAGATTTACAGAGTAAATTGTGATATTATTACAATTTAAACGATTGATACATCAGCTTAGCACCACTCACCTGTTTATTCAATGTAAAGATCAAAGGAAATTGTTCATGTCATCTCATAAGTTTGTTTGTCAAATTGGCCAGAATCAAAAGTTCAAGCTAGTTTGGAGCTGGAATTATAACTGGTTTATACTGATTTTTGCAGGAATGGTCTTCGCAACTTAAGTTAGTTTTAGCTTGCGGTAAAAAAGCTGAGTT